CTCGTCGGCCGAGCTCGGCCTAGGAGTAAAATTTGTTGATGTTGCGTTGAGTGCGTTGCTGACTTCTTTTGTCTTGCGACTGCGGCCGAGGAAGGGACGAGTCTCGGCCTTTGGATTCTCGAGCATGAAGACAAGGCTGCTAATTCTGCGAAGTTCACGAACCGTCGGCGCCGGATTCGGTCACAGTGATTATATTTGTGAGAGTATAAGCACGTCGAATCGACACCAGACTATATGGACACAAGTACTCAAATGTGATGTATGTCTTGATGGTAAATGTGGTTCGGCCGTTGGAATGCCGAACACTGAAACTCACTTGTGAGTATCTAATCATAAAACCACTCGACGTCCAATGTGCCGAACGTTGTAACTTGTAACACCTTACTTCACCGAGAAGGCTAATATGATGACCTATGCCCACAAGGATCCGGAAACCCTTCTCGACCGAGACTTGGATAAATAACTAGTCGGCCTCGACACAGTGCTGTTTATCCAAACTGAAAATGTTCCTCGGTCGATTGATTCTACGGCAACAGTGCTGTTTATCCAAACTAAAGATGTGTCAGCGGAAAAAGAAAACGAAAAATCTCAAGTTGTCTGAGAGGTTTGCGCAGAGCAATTGTATGTTGAATTCGAGAGCATGATTGTTGCATGATGTCTTGTATTCATAGTACCAAATCCTCCTTGGGATCGAGTTAAAATCATACCTGGATTGGGACTTCTTGTTTGCTGGTCGAGAATCCAATTTGCACTAAGACCCCTTATCGTATCAGGACTTCTTCGACCCATTCGCTCATCCAAACTACTCCTTCTTGAGATAGGATTCGTTCATCCTTACTGAACGGCTTGAGACCACTAGGTAGCCCATAACATATTTAAAAACTTTGGGCTAAACATAAATCCACACTCGGCCCAATAATATTATTTTGGGCTCGAGCCTAAACATTGCCCCCTCGCTTCTGAGGTCGTCAATCGTCAATCCTCGATCGAGCCTTGACCTTGAAGAAGCGAAAACGTCTTTTGCCATTAGACCTAACCGTCTCGATAACCACCACTATGCGCATTTATGAAATATGATTGCATGATCTCTGTTTTTCTCGATGTCCTGCCACATGTCGATTCTTCGATAAACTTAATAGCCTTTAATCATGGCCCTCGAAAACGTGCGCTTGCCGAAGCGTCTTTTCCTCATCAATGCATTAAATCTGCCACTGCACGCAATCGTGCGTCCTAAAACCTCGAGAACCTCGATCCTATCCTTGGAGATTCTTAAGATATCCGAAATGATTGACCATTTCCTGGTCGATTTTTCCCTTAAATTTGAAAATCAAAACGCTTCAGATCATCAAACGTTTGACCTTCCTCTCAATACACCTATAAATATTTGAAATCCTCCTATTCGTACATTTCACACTTCCAGAAACCTTTGAAAAATCTCTCCGCCATTTTGCTTTCGAAATCCCAGAAAAACAAACTCTTATCTTAGAAATCCTCCCAAGCATTCCTCCAAAACTCTTATAGGCTTTCCAAAATGACTTCCAACACCTTTATTTCTAAGCTCAACGACGAATCCAACAAATGCAAAAGCTTCATCGATTGGATTGCCATCAAAACCCTGCGCTTCGAAAGTGACCTAAGCACTACTCATCAAATCCTGGGGCCACTTTTCAAGGATGTAGTACCTTCGTCCATCACCACACTCTTCAAGGCTCATTGCCTAACACCCTTACTACAAGGGTTCCACTGGTTAAAGTAGGACCTATTGAAACCCTAAGAAGCCTGGCCTACGACCAATGCCAACTGGGCAGCTTGGGTCGTCCGAATGGAAAATTTCTTCATCCAAGAGTGGAAGGCTCTTGGTATCTACGATGCCATCAAACTTTTGACCATGGAGCTAGCCATGGTAAAGAACTCCTTATGGCAACGCTAAGTCTCTGGTGCTCGACCACCAACACTATGGTCATTTCCTTTGGCCCTCTCGGCCCTACCATCCTTGATGTCTTGGCTATTCTTAGGACTCCTCCCTCTGGCATCCCGATAGATACCGCTCTCTTTGGACGTCTGTCGAATATAAACCTTAAGGCGCTCTTTGACGATCGAGCCGTCGAAACACTAAGTCGAGATGGTCAAGAGCCTTCAAAAGAAGAGGTTCAGAAGCTACACAAGAACTTCTTCAACTACAACACCCCCATCCTTTACTTCGCTGGCTGATGAGAGGCAAGTCTTCGGAAGGGAGAACATGAAGCCTTCCTATTCTACTGGTACAACAAATTTATTTGTTGTACCGGATCAAACAAGTGTTTGGTCAAGAACATGCCAGTGGCCGAAACCCTGGCCAGTGGTCATACTCTAGCGCTTAGCTCGGCCGTTCTTGCCAATCTTCTCCGCTGCTTGACCGAGGCGACTATTGGAAAAATTGACGCAAACCAAAACGGTCCCTTCTAGGTCTTCTAACTCTGGCTACAAGTCTATTTCGCCACACTTCGGCCAGACATCTCTGCCTTTCAACCTATTACCTTGTTCGACCTTCAGTTGGCATCTCGGTCGCCGCCTCCTCACCAGGCCAAAGAAGTCTTAAAGTACCTCTTCGGCCTAGAAGTCCTCTCCGACGACGAATTTTTAGTGTGTCGTCGTCAAGAGGACCCTTGCTCTATCAGGCTTCCAACATCAGCCTGGAGTGAAAGTGAAGATGCTGCCCTTCGCTAGAATTAGGGGTCGATCGTGCTAGCACATGACCTTCGCCTTGGTTGTGATTCTCACCAAGCGAGTTGGGAAGTCTACCACCCCCACTTCACGGCTCGACAACTTAGATACCTTCAAGGTTGTCCGGTACCTCTACTCACTTCCCGTTCCCTCCTCAGCTGAGAACGCCTTTCTGGCTCATCAGAGAGGGAGTGTAGAGACTCCGAGAAAGAGTTTTAGGATCGGTTCAAAACATTTCAGCTCCGACCAACTCTTCCTAAATCTCTCAGAACAAAAATCTTCGACGACTGATGGGAAGAGTACACTGGAGCTTTCTTTGGGGTTACGGTCGAAAACATCACCGACAAAATTTTCGACGATCAGCCAAAGAAAATCTCTGCCCCCTAATCCAAAGAACCAACACAAGGTAGACGACTACCTTTTCTTCTATTTCTCTTTTCTATTGTCACTGATCCTTGTTAATGTGATCTCGTTTTCTCAAATGGTCGGTCGTCGAAGAAAGTGGACGTGATCGCTATAGCTACGGCCAAGAAGAAATCTGCTCTCTCTAAGAGAAGCAAAACCACTGTGCAACCTTCACAAGGCAAACAGTCTCGTCTGAAAGCTGAAGTGGCCGGCGAAGCTCTCTGACCCTCAAAAGGCATCAAGAACTTGGCTAAGAAGGGGGAACGGGAGATCCACGTGATTTCCAACCATACTACTGGGATAACCGCAACCAGCAACTCTCCCCTCGCCCCGATCGTCCATGCCCAAACGGAGGAACGACCAACAGCATCCTGCCAAGCAACCCGAGCCGTCCCTAGGGTCGTGGCTAATCTAGGGACTGCTCCGCTGGTTGAGGGACCTTTAGTCTTGGGGCCAATGGCTGCATCTGCCCTGGAGAAAATAACCCTACTCGTCGGGACAAATTTCCCCAAGAAACAGTTGACGATAATCTTAGAAGAGGTATGACTATGTCGCTAGTGACCCTTCTTCAATTTATCAAGTTTACAAATCTTAACAGCTTTTTGTTTTAGGACGATGAGAGCGACGAGGGTCACGAGATTCCGCTGGTGAGTCGCCCTCGACCAACCAAACCTCCTTCCGCCAATCTTCCCCTCGTGGTCGAGGCGGCTGTTCAACCGGATCCTCCCATGATCGATCGTGGGAAAAGACCCCTGGTCGAGCTTGAGACGACGGTAGAAATGCCGCTCCATCCATAAGATGAAAACCTCGACATTCCTCCACAAGAAGTTACCTTGGCTTTTGTAAGGCTCACTCCCCTTTCTTCATTAATTTTATTATGACGCATCTGAACCTAGGAAAATATTAAATGTCAGGTGCCCAAACATTCATTTCACCGACAATTCTATGCGCCGAAGGGTGTGATCTACATTTCCTGGCTACCTCAGTGGCCATCAAATGTAGATAAACTCCATCGGCCACGTGAATTAAGAAGCAGTCTTAGACACTGGGCTCGGCCATTAAGTTCTCTAGGTTCGAGCAATGAACCAGAGGACATGGCCGAAGTCTCCTCTCGGTAGGTTTAGAAACAAATTCACTCTATTATGCATTCCATATGATTTTCCTTTTGCTTACAAATTTTCTTTTCTGTGCAGCCTTCGTGGGAAGTTAAGCTTGACGCCTTAATTGCAACTACATCAGGAGCGGTTGGCTCCTTAACGATAGCAACCAAACCTTCCGTTTAACGGCCGAACCAGATGCCCTTGTCAAGCTGCATGAATTGCTGTCCCTTTCAGCATCACAAATTCTTGAGTGATAGGGCCTCGACTTCGTAGGGGCATATCTGAACAATCTTGCGGCTGATGGTCAGTTAAGCAACAAAGTCATTACTCGAGCATCTTCTACTTTGGAACGAACTCGAGAATATTTCGATAGTTTTGAGAGAGCTCTTTGGGCCGAAGATGACTTGAAAGCTGCGATGGTTGTTCAAGAAGCTTTACATCCACGGGTTAACATGCTGAAGACAAAGAAGGAAACAGTGGCCGACCTCGGTCGTCAAATTGCCGAACTTCAAAACTGAAGGTTGGCAATTGCTTTCGAGCTTACAAGAGATTTCGAGTCGTGCGGCAAATCCTGCCTGACCGAATATGCGGCTAGTGTGCGGTAGGTCGAGCAGCTGAAGATGGATAAGAGGAATTGGCAGAACGAGGTCACGATGGGTTAGGTGAGGTGGTTAGAATTGAAGGCTGTTCTTGAAACTTTCTTTTCCTCCTCACCTTAGGGATATTTAGTTATAAACGAATCAACCATCTGTACTTGTATACTCGTTTTTGCGAGCTTATTAATGAAATAAACTATTCTTGCATTTCCCCCATGACCGGATAATACTTCCTTAAAAATTTCCCATTGATTGGTAATTTGTGAATTAAACCAGTCCGATCTCTAAGATGATATGCTCCCTTGTCGAGAACTTTATGTACGATGAACGACCCTTCCCAATTCGACGACCATTTACCGAACCTGGGGTCTTTAATTTCTACGGGTAGCACAATTTGCCAAACTAATTCTCCCTTGCCAAACGTTTTCTGTCTAACCCATTGATTATAGGCTCGCTCGGCAATCTTTTTCTGCGCCACTAATAAGTTATAAGCGTCAAGTTGCATTTCCTTCAATTCTTCTAACTCCTGCCTTATGGCCTGACTGCATTCGGCACTAATCAAACTACTCTGTTCGATTACTCGGAACGAATTTATACTAAGCTCAACCGGTAATATTGCGTCCTGTCCATATGTTAAGGCATATGGAGTTGTTCTGGTGGTTGATCGGAGTGAAGTTCGATAAGCCCATAATGCTTCATTTAGCTTCAAATGCCACATCCTCGACCTTTCTCTTACCATTTTTTCAAGAATACCAATCAAAACTTTATTACTTGCTTCGGCTTGTCCATTCACTTACGGATAATAAGCATAGACTGCTCGAGTCAAATTTTTAGGTTCGTCGCATACTCTTTGAACCTGTCGGCCGTAAAGATTGTGCCATTGTTAGTTATGATCGTTTTTGGTACTCCGAATCGAGTCACAATATTTTTTTCTACAAAATTGCAGACTTTTGTGGACGTTAATTCGGCGTATAATCTTACTTCGACCCACTTTGTGAAGTAATCGATTGCCACTAATATCCATGCGTATTTTACAGCTCCAGAAGACAGCGTGATTTTGCCAATTACGTCCATTGCCCATCCTTTGAACGGCCATAGTTTGGTAACCGAATGGAGTAATTCGGCTGAGACTTTCTGTGTAGGCCTATGAACCTGACACTGTATGCATCATCAGGCGTATTCGATGCAATCCTTCAATATACTCAGTCAGAAATAACCGTGTCAACGAAGCAGCCAAGACATCTTACGTCCGGATTTGTGAGCTCCACACATCCCTTCGTGTACCTCTGCTATTACTTGGGCAGCATCTTGTAGGCCGAGGCACAATAATAGTAACCCATCCTCACCTTTTTGATAAAATTCATTCTGGTACGACACATAATTCGTGGCGTGGACCCTCGTCCTTTGATTGTGTCTATCGTTGGGGTTGTCGAGATATCGTAAAATCACATTTTTCTAATCGTCCGGTAATGTCTCGACAACACATATTTCTACGGGGTCTCCTTGCTCTAGCAGCGATGGTAAAGACATCACTCTCGTGCGTATGACATGATTGCGCTGGAAGACTTGTTGATTGACCAAGGCTGGGTAAGATCGTAGTTCTGTGGGCGTTACCCGGCCTAACTTGCCCTCCGTGAGTTGTGCTCCGGAGGCTATTTGGGCGAGTTCGTCTGCGTCAATGTTTCAAACATGCGAAATGTGCTCAATTGTAATCCGCTCAAATAACTCGGCCAAATAGGTGGTAACCATGTGATAGGGCGTCAAAGTACAACTCATGCAATGAAAAATGCCATTTAATTGGTTACTCACTAGTTCGGAATCATTGAAGATGAGGACACGGGCTGCTCTTAAGTCATGGAGGACATGAAGGCCGATGATGAGGGCTTCATACTCTGCCTGATTATTCACACAGTTGAAATCTAACTTGAGAGGGAAATACCATCAGTAATGGTCGGGAGATTGAATGACGATACCAACACCAGCTGAGGTAGCGGTGCTATATCCATCAAAGTGCATCATCTAGTAGTTGTCGCGTGTTTGGACTAAACCAATTCGACTTCGCTGCCCCCAAAACCATAAGGAGAGGGATGCTAGGCCAAAAAATCGGCTAGGACTTAACCTTTGATGGTCTTTTAGGGGATGTACTGCAAACTAAACTCGGACAATGCCATGGTCCATTTCCCAATTCGGCCTTTGATGATAAGCAGAGTAAGCATGTAACAAATAACATCTGTTTGGGCGATGACTTGGGTAACTGATGGGAGCATGTAACGTCGACGTTTGGTCGCGGCGAAAAACAAAGCTAAGCAAAGTTTCTCGACGGGTGAATAATTGATCTCAGGTGAATTCAAATTTCGACTGAGATAAAAGATAGCTTGTTCACACCCAGAATCGTTATCTTGCGCGAGGAGGCAACTGATGGACTTGTCAGCTGCCGAAATGTACAGTTTGAGAGGTCTACTACGACAAGGCGGTATGAGTACTAGTGGCATGGTAAGAGAGACCTTGATTTGTGTGAAAGCCGCTTGATGTTCTTCGCGCCACTCAAACTTGTCAGTGTCTTTAAGTTTTAGGAGTGTAGATAATGCTTTCATTTTGCCTACCGAATTAGCTATGAAACGGTGGAGAAAATTTATCTTCCCGAGCAACGGCTAGAGTTGCTTCTTGGTCGTCGAGGGTGGAGCGCTAATGATTGCGCGAGCTTTATTTTCGTCGACCTCGATGCCACAATGGTGCATAAGAAAACCCAAAAAATTACCTGCCGATACACCGAAGGCGCATTTGGCCGGGTTCATTTTGAGATTATGTTGACGCATACGAAGGAATACTTGCCGAAGATCATCCAGGTGCGTTCGGCGACTTTTCTATTTCACAACCACATCATCGATATAAGTTTCTACGACCGTACCGATCAAATCATGGAATATCGTATTCATAGCTCGTTGGTATGTGGCTCCGACATTCTTGAGGCCGAATGGCATGAAGACCCATTCGTAGGTGCCGAGTGCCCCCGGGCAACAGGAGGCGATCTTATGAACATCAGCTTCAATGATAAAGATCTGGTTGTAACCGGTATGGCCGTTCATGGAGGATAACATTTCATGATTGGCTGCGACATCAATCAATAAATCCGAGATTGGCATTGTATATTCATCCTTGGGAGTTGCCAGATTTAAATTACGAAAATCGATGTAGATGCGTAGGGCTCCATTTTTTTTAACACCGGGACGATATTGGCTAACCATTAGACGTATCGAGTGGTCCGAATAAACCCGGCTTTCAAAAGCCAAACTAATTCATCCTTTATGCCAAGCTGTACTTCTATCGAGAACAGGCATGGGGGTTGTCGGAAAGGCTTACACCCTACTTTGATGCGTAATTCATGTTCGACGAGGTTTCGATTAAGGCCTGGCGTCTCATGTTAATTTCACGCGAAACAATCTTTATTTATGGAGTAGTATACAAAGCTCGACCTTTATGGGGGACAGTAACAATGCACTAATAAACAACAGTTGAGGCTTGTCGGCTGTGCCAACATTTATTTCTTTTAATGGGTCTTTGACTTAGGGCCGATTGTCTTCGAGTTCGGCTGGTGCGGCCTGAACTTTGTCTAACGATAAAACTGGGCCGTTATTTGCTTTAGCCTAAAATTTGATTAAGTTTACACCCGAGTGTGGTTGCTTGGCAATGGCATACCAATGAGCCAGCAGACGTTCCATGGTAGATGAAACCGCGGTTCGAGGCCTTTCTTATTTGGCGACGTCAGTCATCAGCGTTGGTAATTAGATCAGCCAAGTCGAGTTTCACCGAATCCTGCTATACAGTCTCGACGTCTACCTCGATGGCTTTCTGAACTGAAATTCGAGTCGGTCGTCCGTCTTCGTTAAAACCTTATAGGGTGATGTAGCCGATGTGATCGTCATAATAACGAGCCTGAATCATGTTGGTTTTGAACGACTGATTATCGGCTGGATGGACTACAACCGATTTGCCGTTCCAAAAGATGAGAACTTAGTATAACGATGAAGGAATGCAACTTGTTTGATGGATCCAATCGTGGCTGAGCAATGCATTATAGTCGGTCTTTGAGTCAATTATAAAGAATGCAGTCATGTGGTTGCGACCTGCGACATTAACTTCTAACAGGAGTACTTCTTTGGTTTGATACTTGTCGTCGATGAAGCTGCTCATCATAATCCCTAATGGTATGAGCTCATCATTGGAGTGACGTAATGCCTTTATGATGAAGATCGACATGATGTTAACTATGGCTCCACAGTTGATAAACACGTTGGAAATGAGATATCCTTCAATATGAGCCGTGACGTATAACGGCTTTAGATGTTGAAGATTAACAAAAGGAGAGCAGGGGAACAATTCAGCCAGGGCTGCCGTAAGCTTGTCGCTTTTACTGATTTCCTTATCTTCCCCAGTAGCAATGAACTCTACTTATGTCGCTTCTTCGGTAACCATGTCCTTATCCAAAAAATTTGACTAGTGGGTTCTTGGTTGAAATTCACCCAGGAGGATATGGAGCATGCTGATTTCCATGTGCTTGAGTACCGAAGGGCCCATCGGGTCTTGGTCGTCGACTTCCAGATTAGGAAATGTAGTATCAGTCTTAGGAGTGTTTTCAACCAGATTATTTATCGCCTTGGTATGTACCTGTTCTTAGGGCGCGTTGACTGAACCTATTCCATTTTGGTCATCTTCCTCGAGCTGGTTTATTTTCGAAGAGTGATTGTGTTCTTGTAGTGCTTTCCAGGCTCGTTCGTCGTAGGCGATTTGGGCATTCCTTGTGTCTAGGTATGCATCTAAACGCGCCACTCGATTTTCCTCATCGGTCGTAAAGCCGAAAAGAGACACGGCCGAGAAGACTTTGAAATGATATAGCAGGTGTTGATGGTCTTCAAGTGAGAAAGGTAGCTCGACGGTGTCTATATCTGTGTATGGGTCGACCTCAAAGCTGAGGACTTGAGCCTCACGTATATGCTGGAACCTAACTTTTATTGCCGAATTGGTGGTTTTCTGAATAATCTGTTCAGCATCAAGGCAAGTTAATGCTAGGTCGAGGGCTTCCTGACATACCTTGGGCAGTCCATACAAGTCATTTGCGGAATATTTCTTATGAAATTCTCGCATGTACTCTAAATATTCACTGAGGAATGGAAGGTGCAGATTGAGCTGTATTTTCAGTAACGGTTCCTGCTATGGTAACGTGGGAAGCTTACTTTCGGCCTCTTGTCTGAAATGTTCACGACGAGCTTTCATCTCTCTGGGCCGAAGAAGGAGTTTGATACATTTCTCGGACTCTTCAAAGGTGGTTTCAAAGTCGCGATCAACTGCCTTTTTTTCTTGAAATAAGTTGTCCATAATGGTCGGGGTAGGTTGGTCATCGCCGTTTTCTACGACCTTTTTTGGCTACCACCAGGTAGTCGAATTAATGTGTGCTTCTTATCGTCGGGCTATTCAGTCTATCCGCTGCCGTCGATGTTTTTGAGAATTAGATAACACCGTATACATACCAGTCAGAGAATTGTAACTATACCAACGTTGATTGCATGGCTTAGGTAGGTTGAGGTTTTTCGACCCACCAATGAACTCGAACTGCTGGAGTTATGCGAGTAATAATCCTCATTATAGAATGGCAAATCAAAGTCAAGACGTCGTCTGACTGGGGTTCCGTCTTTTGCTTGTACATGTGGGTCGAGTCTCTCAAACACTTGCCGTCGTTGGCCA